GATACTACTACTCTTGGAGAGGAGAAGGGTGTGTTGGGGGAAAAGGGTCAGGGAGTTGGGAAAAGAAGTCTATGATAGAGGAAGCTTTGAGTGTCTCCAGCTTGAGTATCCCCTCTGTATTGCAGTTGGCCGGTGTTCCGCAACTACTTGTTGAACGTACTACTCTTGAGCATATCGAAGGCTAGTTGGGGGCGAACCGGAGGTGGAGGAGAGAAATACGGTGGTTTTGTCCACACTCGATTAATATTCGTAATGTTAGCAGCTAGAATGCACGAGTAACGAATAACCGCAACAATACCGCCAATGTGAGCAATGTCATAACTAAGTTATCATAGAGGCCAATACATACTCTCAACAGGGGGTAAAAATTAAACAGCGACAAAAGGCGTGGCACGGGTAACGTGACTGAAGGGGAATCTGGTTACCCTACCCTAGAATATTCCAAGTGCCGAGCTCTGGCACAGCCAACTTTGCACAAGCCCATATGGTAACTTGCCCCATCACCCACCTCACTCCGTAAACAATGAAATTCTCAAGATGACCATAAGGCCCCGTCCAGAACCCTTCGCCCCCTCGAACCTTCCTGCCTTCACCAGCTCTGGTTTGGGCATAACCAGTTGGTCTCCACTAGATAATGGTGGCCACAGCTTCGTCCTAAAAATCACCACTTCCCCTTCCTTCACCTCCACCACCCCCACTACCAGTGTCCTCAAAATATTCCGCTTCTACCTCGCACCCCACGGCGACAGCCCAACCGCAACTGCATCCACAGGCCCATACCACTATTACAATCTCGAATCCGCCGCCTACTCCCGCCTCAAGCACTCCCGTCTAACCGGCACCACCGTACCAGAAATTTATGGCGTGATCCACATAACCCCTGAACATGAACATCACCTCGCCGTCAGCCAGGGGATGAAATCGCTAGCGGGCATGCGCCGGCACTTTCGAGAATTGACGGTGGTGGGGCTGTGGATGGAATATGTTCCTGGTGCGCGATTGCTGCCAAGGGACGCAGGTAGGTGGGCGGAAGAGTTGAGGACAGGCCTGACAAGGATCCACGCTGCGGGGGTAGTGCAGGGGGATATTAACTGGAGGAATTTAATTGTAGGGGAGGGGGAGGGGAGCGAGAGGGGGGTTGCTTGGGTGGATTTTAGCACGGCAAGGGTTAGAGGGGAAGGGGAAGGGGAAGGGGAGTGGGAGGAAAGGCTGGACAGCGAGAAGGGGAGATTGGAGGGGCTGTTGGCGAGAGCCGGGAGGAGGAGGGGGAGGGGATGTTAGGAATTAAGTTGAGTGGGGAAAATCTGGCGGTGGTGAGTAGAGCACGTGCGGGTATAGATTGATGCTCAAGTGCTGGAAGGCACGGCGCTATTGTAGGAGCATGCAATCGCTCACCCGCTGTTGCCCATGATTACAAAGAGCTTTGGGGGATTCCCCGTGAGCTTCCCTGCTCCCCTACAGCGCCCATATGGGCACCCGCCGTAGGAGGTTACGACGTAGTGGCCATCTCTCCTCCACCATTAACTCTCACCGACAAAGCCAACCATGTAGCATGAAAATCTAATTCTCTGAGCATCCGTGCATAAATTTTTGTTGAATCCCTATCCAAAGGGCAGACGTCATAAGCTATCGCGAGGGGAATCTTTCCCTGGTAGCATATCATACTATAAAAATGGCACCATACATAACTGGATAGAACGGAAAGGGCCCACATGAAACAGTTCATCTCTGCACCTTCGCCATTACAATCCATCCGAAACAATCCCCAGAGAAAGGAGGGGACCTCTCAACTCACATCACCTCCCACAACCACTTCCCCGCACTGTACCCGCACCATGCCCCACCAACGACAAAACCACTCCATCAGACATTCCATCAAGCCTGTGCGAACCCCCCCCACCTCCCCCCGGAGCGCCAAACTCACCATCCAATTCTACCACCTATCACCGGAGAAGTCAGTCACGGTACAGTACCCAACCAAAAACGTAAAAAAAAACAGCAACAATAAACAAATAAATAAGAAAGTAAGCACCGAAGCAAGGACCTCACATATCTATGACATATCCAACCACTACAAATTTTTTCTTCTTTCCTTTTCGGGAACCCGAATGTTGCTGCTGTGCGTTATACAAGTAGTGCCATCACTCTCCTCCTCACGAAGATGCAGCTGCAACGAAACCCAACCACCGCCCCCGGCAAGGTTAAAATTCCGAGTTATGATTTTTTCAAAAGTTGTAGTGGTATTGTGATACCTTTTAGTATAATGTGCGGTCAACTTCGCTCCACCCGGCAACCGACCCGTCCTGACGGATCCTAGATTGGTGCCGTAGCGTGCACAGCAGATCACTCGTGGATGACATAGACCGGCACCTGTGGGCGTGATAAAAGGGAAAAGGGGGTGCAATGTGCTCTCGAGTTGGGTCTTTATAAGCATGGCTAGAGAGAGAGAGAGAGAGAGAGAGTTATGATGGGGTGTATTCGGTACTTGGGCCTGTCCGGTGGGGATTGGGAATGGATGGGTTTGGCGGGTGCTCTAGTGTGATTTAGTGTAAAGCTTTAGGGTCTGCCTTGTGAGGTTGGGAGCTGGGCTGGGGATGGACTTGAGCGGATTGGGATGAGCGTCCGGCATGAATGGTGCCCTTGTCTTGCTTGTATGTTTTCCGTTGTGGCCAGTCGTGCAGCTAGGGTTGGCTTGTGGTATGGTTTCACGCACTCTCTTGTTGGAATGGCTGCTCCTTCACGAGTTGGGTGAGTGGTCGATGGATTTCTGCCTACACGGCGGAAAAGTAAGGTAAAGGTCTATTCGCAACCCCTAGCACAATCATAAAGGGCGTTCAAGCTATTAATCGACCGACTACGATGCAAAACCATAACTTCACGCCCAGGCCAGTCTATCCGTTGATAAGCTTAAGCATATCATCAACCTCCTTAACCACATTCGTAAGGTTCTCGTATCCTCCCTCGGTGATCAGGATGTTATCTACTCCCCATCAATTACTCTCCTTCCAAGATGACACAATGCCTAACGGGATAAAATACCTTCAATCCTAACACCTCCAACATCCCAATACTTCTCTAGGACGTCCTTGTCGATATACTTGGCATGCTTCTCATCCTCGAGGTACGGGTTAATAATGAATTCGCAAAAGTAAACCCCAGGCTCTACGGTAATAACTGCACCAGCAGGAAGTGGCCCGCGCTTACGCAGGTATTTGAACATAGGGTCGGAGTCCTCGTAGTTCGGGTTCCCACCACAGTCGTGGGTATCCATACCAAGGTAGTGTCCCAACCCATGCGGGAGGAAAGCAGTGCTGGTCCTGCTCGTCAATATCTCGTCCACACTGCCATCCTTAAGAATACCGATCTTGAGAAGACCTTGAATGGCTACTTTGTGAGCGAGGATATGAATGTCGTCCCAGACAGCGCCAGCCTTGGAAGCGGCGAGACACTGCTTCTGCATATCTAGGACAATGTCGTAGACATCTCTGCTTTCCTTGGTAAACTGCCCACATATCGGGAACGTCCTAGTGACGTCGGAAGCGTAGTTGCTGTATTCTGCTCCAGCGTCCAATAACAGGTTCAGTTTCCCGGAGAGCGGTTTGTTATTGTGTATATAGTGTAGGATACTCGCGGACCTGCCGCCGCCAAAGATTCCGGAATACGCCTGCTTCGGTGCGCCATTTGCGATGCATTGCTTCGTGAATATTGCTTCAATCTCGCGTTCGTTTCCAGCAGACTTGACTGCACGAAGTGAGGCGTGGTGCGCGAGTGCGCTTATTAGGTTCGCTTTCTTGATCAGGGCTACCTCGTATTCGTCCTTGATCACCCGCGCGCGCTCGATAGCTGGCTCCAAGTTTTCGGCATTTTGGAGAGTGAAGGTGCGTGAGGTTTGGTTTTCGATTACAAACGGTAGGCTGGAATTGGATATAGTTGGCGGGGCCGTAGCAGTGGTCGGGAGGACTTCATCCACGTCGTATTTCTCTAGCGCCTCGGAGCTAGAGAGCGGAAGTCCAGACCAGAGCACTGAAGCAGGGTCGATGGGTGGGATGAAAAGCGTGAGCTTCTGATCGCGGATGGAATAGGTGAGGTAAGAATCAGCGAGGTCGCAGCCGGAGAGGTAGTAAAAGTAACGGCGTTGGCGGAAGGGAACTGGTGTGTCGTATCAGTTTGAGCCACCGGTGGGATAGAGCAGATAAAGGAATACCCTCTTGATCACTGTTCTCATAAAGTTTTGACTTTTGAGATTCAAGATAGATAACCCCGTCCGTAAGGCCGGGACAAGATTGACGGAGGTGCTTTACAACGTTCTCCGCATGTTGCTTAGCAGGGTACTTCCCCGCGAGTATTTCATCAACAGTTGGGTCTGCGGCCATTTTTGCGTATCGTCAAAGTTGCGGAGTTTGCCCCGATGGCGCTGGTTGAGGAAGAAGTAGAGATGGGATATGGGGAGATTACCGGCATCAAAGCGGGGGGAGGAAATACCGGCAACCGCCCTGCACTCATCTCAAGTCTCAAGTATCGTAGTGTGCAGTACAGTACTCTAATACTAGCAGTCCCCCCTCGATACTCGAGGCCTGTTGTAGGCTGGATAGAGTTTTATAAAGATATAGTTATTAATAAGATTGTAAAAGCATTTGAGGTAAGAACCTGTGGACTAAATATTATTATAATAGATTTAGTATTATGTAGAATTTGGATAGAAGAAATAGAATAATATTACAGGAGAATTTCATACTGGTAATCAAAAACCTGACATACTCTATTCACTTCAGTACTAATTGGTATGTAAAGTAAAACAGAGGCTTAGAGTGGTTAGATTCACAGATGACCGAAAAAACACAAGTAAGAGGTGAGAATATCAGGTCATAAATAATAAAAGGTGGTGGAAATAAACCTACTGACAGATTCCATATACCACATATTTAACTATGTAAATGAAGATATAGTAACAAATAAGGTAAATATGAGGTCAGAAAACAGAAACAAAAGACAGTTATAAGATATATAAAATAAATATTAAAGAAAAACTTTAGCATATACTATATTATTCAAGTATGTATATCTAGGAGTGCTTTCTAAAGGCAATAGAGTCTGTTTATTTAATAATGAAACCTGTATTAAGGCTAAATAGTACTACTTATGAGTTATACAAACATCCTCTATGTACTCAGTTAGAGTTGTATATATGGATATAGTTTCTAAAACCTCATAGTCATATTACAAATTAGATAAGCATTAAATTCTATTACTGAGTTGATCTTACGTGTGCAGTATTGGTTGAATCATAGAGGTAGATTTATAAACAAAAGGTATTCTTAGGTCTTAGAGGTCTCAAAGATTTCAATCTAGAATAGATAGTACCATGGACCTGAAATACCTATGAGATACTACGTTACTCATTTAGCTAATTATCCATATTGTATTAAATAGAAATTTAGGTAAAGAGACTATTTTAACTACACCATTGCTTTCAGAATAGTTTTGACTGAGTATCTGCTTCCATTACCAAGTCATTTAGGAGCTCTGGTAGTTCTCTTATTCTCTCAATCTTAATATCAGCATGCTTGCAGTGAGATTTAAAGCTTACTATTCTATTCTAAAATTTTCTGTATAGTAACTGAGAAGCTTAGTATATAGCGTTGCATCTTCGATATCTAATATTCATTCTTCCCAAATTACGGACCTTCTATTAAGTTCTCTAATCTATGAAAGTATGATTTAACTGTGATAACAATCTCACTTATCCTGATACTTCTATAATAGAAGCTTCTACATTAGTATCAGATTCTACTATTACTACTTCTCTCATAACTGTATCTCCCTCTTCTATTATTGAAACTGCTAAGTTCCCTCTCATAACTCTAACTCTTAGTATAAACCACTACTATTGATCTCTTACCTGTTATATGATAAGTTTCAATTAGTTCTACTTCTGAGGATTTTTGTGATTCCTAAAATACAAAGAATAACTTACCACACATATCCTACTGGTTAGGCATAGTATACCACTGCTATCACAAACAACATCTTAATCTTTTCTTATCTGGTAACATACTTAAAAGTACTATTTGTTTTTCTAATTATCTGGTACAATGTTAGTTATTTGTTTTTCTTAATACTAATTTAGCTAATAACTATACTAATAACTATAGAAGTAGTTGATTCTACTATAACCTAACTGTGTAACCACTTGTAAACTCTACTGTGAACTGTTTATTCTGATGTAAATATACTCTTATACTTAAATCCAGCTGGTAGTATATTAAGAAATAAGTGTTTATTTCCAGACCTCCAGCTGAAAATAATCAAGAAATCTGATATGTCCTTATTCTTAGT